GGCAGGAAGTGGTTCCCCTCCGGGCTGGGGAGGGGAGGGCCCACCGCAGCACGTAGCGCACCACGGCGCCCGGGCCTCACACCTTCCAAAACCACCATCGATTGGTGGTCCACTCGCGTGGTCTCGTTGTTGCAGTCCAAATACACACGAAATAAAAAGATGGAGGAGGGCGGGGGGGGGGCAGGAAGTGGCTGGGCGATCAGCGGACGCGCCGTACCGCAGCCGCGCCGCGGGTCACTGATCCGCACCCTGCTGCTGGAGCCGCTGGAGCGCGCCGTGGGGCGCTGCTGGGCGCTGCTGGGCGCTTTTGGACGCTGCTGGAGGCCTCACCCGCGCCGTCCCGGGCAGGCCCTGGTAAGCCTCCTGCGCTGGGCCAGATCAGCTGTGTATCGTCATGTGGAGGACAGACAGGTGCCGGCCCGCCGGCCCCTGGGCACGAGCCAACCGTCCTCCACGGGTGAACAGGTGGCCCGGCCCAGCCCGGCCCAGCCCGGCCCGGCCCGGCCCGGGCAGCAGCGCGCCGGTAGACACCTGCCGCCCTGAGCTCGCCCCGCTAACGGTTGGGATCCCCCCCCCCCTCCCCCACCCACTTACACACTCACACACATTGACGGGGCGAGGGTTAACCCTTCCCGCTGCTGGTGTCGTGAAGGGGCTCACGGTCCCTGTCACCGTCTCGCTGCTGTTGGCCCTAACCGCGATGACGGTTGGTCCTAGTGAGACGGTGGCTTCGGCTTGACCCGCAGGTGGCTTATGCGCGGCAAGCCGTCGTGGCCTGCCACGGGGACGCCGAAGCAGCTGCAGAGTAGCGCGTGTGTGTGTTTGTGTGTGGCGCAAAAGGGAAAAGAAGTCCCTCGTTCAAGGTCACGACAAACTGCAGCAGATGTTTCTGCTGCTCTAGCGCTCTGGTCTGAACGGACACCACCACTGCGGTAGCCTGAAATGAGTAACGATCGTTGTGTGTTGTGTGTGTGTGTGGGGGGGGGGCTGCAAGGAGGGAGAGTAAGTCGTGCTGGAGCCGTGCAATGAATTGAACAGGTGCTACCACCTGATGGCGTCTTCGCCCCACCCCACCCCACCCTGGGCCCGGCCAGCAGCCCAGCCGGCGCGTGTTTCCACATCGTGGGGACCGAGAAATTAGTTGAAAGTGATGGGGGAGGGGAGGGGGGTAAGGGGGTAAGCGACGGCGGGGGGCTCCCCGAGGGGCGCGCCCGGGCACGCGCCGGCCTGCGGTGGGTATGCCTCGCCGCGGAGGCCCACCTCGGCGTCGGGGTGCGTATACACGACGCAGAGTCGAGCCAGGATCACGTCCGCCCTGGGCGGACCGGTCCGGTCCCTCCCGTCCCCGGCAATTGAATTTTAGCGTGCAGAGCGGCGGTCGGGTCGGGCTGCTGAGCGACACGCGGCCGCCGCACTTAGGCCCCGCGGGGCAGCGGCTGGACCACTGCTTTTTCCACCGTTGCCCTCGCGCAACGCTCCATTTTTTCCCCGTTCTCTCGCTGTCTCTCTCCCTCTCTTTTCTTTCTACGACCTCGCTGCCCCGCATCTCTCCCTCTCTCGCGCGCGGCGGCATCGTTTCTCTATTTCTCTTTTTGTCTCGCGGAATCGCGTCGTAACAGTAGGAGTCAGTAATAAGCTGGTGCCGCGGTGGCCCGACCTTTGGCGTCGCCGTTGCCATTTCAGCCTCCCGCCCCGTCAGCTTCGCGGCCCGTCAGCTCCAGTCGCAGCCCGAACGGCAAAGGCCGGGACCCGCTCTCGCCGTGCTTGAGTCGCACCAGAGGTCTTTGAAGACCTGCGCGCCGGGGAAGTCTCGCGGCCAGCGAGAGCGGTCGGGCAGCAGCAGCCAGTGGCAAACAGCGAGCGGCTTTCGGGAGCGGATCCCGTTGGAGCCACCGCGCGAGCGAGCGAGCGAGCGTTGACCAATAATAAGCCCAAATAACCCGCCAGCTCACTGTGCGCTATGAATCAATCGCACGTAAGTTCCCCGTGCAGGATGCGAACCCTTGAACGACTTTCTTGCCGCACGTGCGTCCCAATTTGGATACAGATAAGCGCGGGTGGGTCCTTCCTAGAGTCCTCATCCTCGCTCGCCGCCGCAGGTTCGCACGGCCCGATCGGGACCGGCGCCGCCGCTGCGCCCGGCCCGGCCCGGCCCGGCCCGGCCCGGCCCGGCCCCGCGCCGCCCACCGGATGCGCTTCAAGGGGTTGCTTTTACTGCCGCGTGGCGCTGGCGTGGCGCGGCTTATTTTACGGGGCATTTGCCGACGATATGTCGCTGACTTTGACGCGGATGCGCCTGTGTGTGTGTGAGTGTATGTGTGTGTTTGGTTCGCGCTTCCTGCCAAGTGCACCCGCGCCGGGGCAGCGCCGGTCGTGGGAGGTCGCTGACAGACGGGCATAGCATTCGCGCACAGTGGCGCGGGGGCCGGACGGGGCCGTGCCGGGTGGGCCTCTTGTCCTTAGCGACCTGTGGTGTGTGTGTTTTTATAGCACATTGTTGAATGCGCACTGCGGAGGCGGCCCCGGCCCTCCTGGCGCGTCAGGTGCGAGGCGCGCGCTTGCCGCCCTGACACCTGCCGCGGCAATGCCCCGCCCCGCCCGTTCCCGCCCAGGTTCAAACACCACCCGCTATTGCGACGTCGCGTTTTCGTCGTCCTCCATGGATCGCATCCCGTCAACATTGTCCTGTGGGTGAGCGCGCGCGCGCGCTCCCCGCGCAAACGGTTGTTCTTTTACACGAGCTGCGGAGCGGGTTGCTATTTACGCTGCATAGGAATTAGTGGAACGAGGCTGGGGAGGTCGTTAGTTGTGCGGCCCGGCCCGACCCGACCCGACCCGCCGCTGGGTCATCACGAACTTGTTTCGTTTGGGACTCGTCCTCTCTCCCGCTCGCGATGTGTTGCTATGTACAACGGTGCCTAAACGCCCACATCCGGAGACCCCGCCGCCGAGTTGTAGGCTAGCGTGGCGTGGCGTGGCGTGGCGTGGTGACCCGCGACCTCCTCAGCCGAGACGGGAGCCCTCGGGACCGGCAGCAGCACGAGGGGTGTGTGTGAGTGTGTGTGTGTGTGTGTGTGCATTTACATGTCCGTACGTACATCGCCCAGCGATGATGCCTTTGTGAAGGCTCGGGAGACAAAAGTGCCACCACCTCCTCCTCCTCATCTGCCTGTGCTCCCCGGCCTCCCCCCGCGGCCGTGGCCCGGACCGCGCGCC